ACGTGCTCTCACCACTGGTGTCCCCCAGGGCTCAGTTCTAGGCCCTCTCCTTTTCTCCCTATACACCAAGTCACTTGGCTCTGTCATATCCTCACATGGCCTCTCCTATCATTGCTACGCTGACGATACACAACTAATCTTCTCCTTTCCCCCTTCTGATAACCAGGTGGCGAATCGCATCTCTGCATGTCTGGCAGACATATCAGTATGGATGACGGATCACCACCTCAAGCTGAACCCTGGCAAGACGGAGCTGCTCTTCCTCCCGGGGAAGGACTGCCCGTTCCATGATCTCGCCATCACGGTTGACAACTCCGCTGTGTCCTCCTCCCAGAGTGCGAAGAGCCTAGGCGTGACCCTGGACAACACCCTGTCGTTCTCCGTCAACATCAAGGCGGTGACCCGCTCCTGCAGGTTCATGCTCTACAACATTCGGAGAGTACGACCCTGCCTTACACAGGAAGCGGCACAGGTCCTAATCCAGGCACTTGTCATCTCCCGTCTGGACTACTGCAACTCGCTGTTGGCTGGCCTCCCTGCCTGTGCCATTAAACCCCTACAACTCATCCAGAATGCCGCAGCCCGTCTGGTGTTCAACCTTCCCAAGTTCTCTCACGTCACCCCCCCTCCTCCGCACACTCCACTGGCTTCCAGTTGAAGCTCGCATCCGCTACAAGACCATGGTGCTTGCCTATGGAGCAGTGAGGGGAACGGCACCTCTGTACCTTCGGGCTCTGATCAGTCCCTACACCCAAACGAGGGCATTGCGTTCATCCACCTCTGGCCTGCTGGCTCCCCTTCCTCTGCGGAAGCATAGTTCCCGCTCAGCCCAGTCAAAACTGTTCGCTGCTCTGGCACCCCAATGGTGGAACAAGCTCCCTCACGACACTAGGACAGCGGAGTCACTCACCACCTTCCGGAGACATTTGAAACCCCACCTCTTTAAGGAATACCTGGGATAGGATAAAGTAATCCTTCTACCCCCCCCCCCCCCCCCCAAAAAAAAAAATTTGTAAAGTGATTATCCCACTGGCTATAGGGTGAACGCACCAATTGGTGAGTCGCTCTGGATAAGAGCGTCTGCTAAATGACGTAAATGTGCCCTTGAGCAAGGCACTTAACCCTAATTGCTCCTGTAAGTCGCTCTGGATAAGAGCGTCTGCTAAATGACTAAAATGTAATGTAAATGTATAGGCCTGTGTTTGAAGGCACCGTTATGCAGTTATGTTAGGCACTACAGGTCAAACAAGGGATAGGCCTGTGTTTGAAGGCACCGTTACGCCGTTATGTTAGGCGCTACAGGTCAAACAAGGGATAGGCCTGTGTTTGAAGGCACCGTTATGCCGTTATGTTAGGCGCTACAGGTCAAACAAGGGATAGGCCTGTGTTTGAAGGCACCGTTACGCCGTTATGTTAGGCGCTACAGGTCAAACAAGGGATAGGCTTGACGCCTTGATAAGTTCCTTTCCTGAGGATGGCTCACCCCTCACAGTTTTGGGGGATTTCAACCTCCCTATGTCCACATTTGACTCATTTCTCTCTGCCTCCTTCTTTCCACTTCTCTCCTCTTTTGACCTCACCCTCTCACCATCCCCCCCTACTCACAAGGCAGGCAATACGCTTGACCTCATCTTTACTAGATGCTGCTCTTCTACTAATCTCACTGCAACTCCCCTCCATGTCTCCGACCACTACTTTGTTTCCTTTTCTCTCTCGCTCTCCTCCCACACTACTCACTCTGCCCCTACACAGATGGTAATGCGCCGCCGCAACCTTCGCTCTCTCTCTCCCACTACTCTCTCCTCTTCCATCCTATCATCTCTTCCCTCTGCTCAATCCTTCTCCCTCCAATCTCCTCATTCTGCCTCCTCAACCCTCCTCTCCTCCCTTTCTGCATCCTTTGACTCTCTGTGTCCCCTATCCTCCCGGCCGGCTCGGTCCTCCCCTCCAGCTCCGTGGCTTGATGACTCATTGCGAGCTCACAGAACAGAGCTCCGGGGAAATGGAAGAAAACTAAACTCCCTGCCGACCTGGCATCTTTTCACTCCCTCCTCTCTACATTTTCTTCCTCTGTTTTCTGCTGCTAAGGCCACTTTCTACCACTCTAAATTCCAAGCATCTGCCTCTAACCCTAGGAAGCTCTTTGCCACATTTTCCTCCCTCCTGAATCCTCCCCCCCCCCCGCCCCCCCCCCCCTCCTCTCTCTCTGTGGATGACTTCGTCAACCACTTTGAAAAGAAGGTTGACGACATTCGATCCTCGTTTGTTAAGTCTAATGACAATGCTGGTCCTACTCACACTGCCCTACCCTATGCTTTGACTTCTTTCTCCCCTCTCTCTCCAGATAAAATCCTGCGACTTGTGACTGCAGGCCGCCCAACAACCTGCCCGCTTGACCCCATCCCCTCCTCTCTTCTCCAGACCATCTCCGGTGACCTTCTCCCCTATCCTCACCTCGCTGATCAACTCATCCTTGACCGCTGGCCATGTCCCTTCCGTCTTCAAGAGAGCGAGAGTTGCTCCCCTTCTCAAAAAACCAACACTCGATCCCACTGATGTCAACAACTACAGACCAGTATCCCTTCTTTCTTTTCTTTCCAAAACTATTGAGCGTGCCGTCTTTAGCCAACTCTCTTGCTATCTCTCTCAGAATGACCTTCTTGATCCAAACCAGTCAGGTTTCAGGACTGGTCATTCAACTGAGACTGCTCTTCTCTGTGTCACGGAGGCTCTCCGCACTGCTAAAGCTAACTCTCTCTCCTCTGCTCTTGTCCTTCTAGACCTGTCTGCTGCCTTTGATACTGTGAACCATCAGATCCTCCTCTCCACCCTCTCCGAGCTGGGCATCTCCGGCGCGGCTCACTCCTGGATTGCGTCCTACCTGACCGGTCGCTCCTACCAAGTGGCGTGGCGAGAAGCTGTCTCCGCACCACGTGCTCTCACCACTGGTGTCCCCCAGGGCTCAGTTCTAGGCCCTCTCCTTTTCTCCCTATACACCAAGTCACTTGGCTCTGTCATATCCTCACATGGCCTCTCCTATCATTGCTACGCTGACGATACACAACTAATCTTCTCCTTTCCCCCTTCTGATAACCAGGTGGCGAATCGCATCTCTGCATGTCTGGCAGACATATCAGTATGGATGACGGATCACCACCTCAAGCTGAACCCTGGCAAGACGGAGCTGCTCTTCCTCCCGGGGAAGGACTGCCCGTTCCATGATCTCGCCATCACGGTTGACAACTCCGCTGTGTCCTCCTCCCAGAGTGCGAAGAGCCTAGGCGTGACCCTGGACAACACCCTGTCGTTCTCCGCCAACATCAAGGCGGTGACCCGCTCCTGCAGGTTCATGCTCTACAACATTCGGAGAGTACGACCCTGCCTTACACAGGAAGCGGCACAGGTCCTAATCCAGGCACTTGTCATCTCCCGTCTGGACTACTGCAACTCGCTGTTGGCTGGCCTCCCTGCCTGTGCCATTAAACCCCTACAACTCATCCAGAATGCCGCAGCCCGTCTGGTGTTCAACCTTCCCAAGTTCTCTCACGTCACCCCCCCTCCTCCGCACACTCCACTGGCTTCCAGTTGAAGCTCGCATCCGCTACAAGACCATGGTGCTTGCCTATGGAGCAGTGAGGGGAACGGCACCTCTGTACCTTCGGGCTCTGATCAGTCCCTACACCCAAACGAGGGCATTGCGTTCATCCACCTCTGGCCTGCTGGCTCCCCTTCCTCTGCGGAAGCATAGTTCCCGCTCAGCCCAGTCAAAACTGTTCGCTGCTCTGGCACCCCAATGGTGGAACAAGCTCCCTCACGACGCCAGGACAGCGGAGTCACTCACCACCTTCCGGAGACATTTGAAACCCCACCTCTTTAAGGAATACCTGGGATAGGATAAAGTAATCCTTCTACCCCCCCCCCCCCCCCCCCCAAAAGAAAAATTTGTAAAGTGATTATCCCACTGGCTATAGGGTGAACGCACCAATTGGTGAGTCGCTCTGGATAAGAGCGTCTGCTAAATGACGTAAATGTGCCCTTGAGCAAGGCACTTAACCCTAATTGCTCCTGTAAGTCGCTCTGGATAAGAGCGTCTGCTAAATGACTAAAATGTAATGTAAATGTATAGGCCTGTGTTTGAAGGCACCGTTATGCCGTTATGTTAGGCGCTACAGGTCAAACAAGGGATAGGCCTGTGTTTGAAGGCACCGTTACGCCGTTATGTTAGGCGCTACAGGTCAAACAAGGGATAGGCCTGTGTTTGAAGGCACCGTTACGCCGTTATGTTAGGCGCTATGTCAGAGTGACTAGTTGAGAGGCAAAACTCGCTTAGGCAAGTCAAGTTCAAGTTTAATTTATTTTTAATTGCATACATTAGAATTTTCACATTCAAAAGTCTGAAATATCTTGGACTGAAACAACTGAACAAATCAGACAGCAGACAGGTGAGGAGAGGAACGTCGTGGACATTTGATAAATATAAATACACAGTAGCCTGGACAATATCTATGAGGGTGATTATAGCGGTGGATGCAGCTGCTGGTCAGTGTGTGTGTGTGTGTGTGTGTGTGTGTGTGTGTGTGTGTGTGTGTGTCAGGAATCTCCTTTGGTTAGCATTGCACATGTCTGGTGGGGTGGTGTAAGTAGCAGCTGGTCAGCTGATCATGTAAAGGCAGTATCAAGGCTACTGTGGTTTTAGGAAGGCTTCCAAAAGCAGCTGTCAAACAACCCACACCCACCCACTGATGAGGACAATGTCTCTGTTTTTTTATACAGTCTGACACAACTCACTTCATAACACTACTGAACCCTGACTAATAAAAATAAGTAACAGACATGTGAATCACAGTTCAGTGATGTTATAAAAAGTTTCTTCCTGTGATCCACTGCTTGCTAAATGGTGTTGAAGACAGTTCCTATGGTGTCCCTGCTGCAGACCGGGTTGTGGCTAGATACCTGACCAATCATGTTCACATATTGGAAGGTCAGAAAGCAGTCACAGGTCAGGACTCAAACCAGCGCTGAAGGTTGGTGATGGTGTTAGTCCGGAGTCTGTGGTTCCGCACGGCGCGGCACGCTGTGCAGTAATGCTCCGCCCAGAAGGTGGTCAGGTGCACGCTGTAGCTCCTCCCCCAGGCCAGGTGTCTCTGCAGGAGGGCGGGGCTCCGGCGCAGCAGCAGCAGGTATTGGGCGAGCAAGCGGGGAGAGGGGAAGTCGTCCACATGGATGAAGGCCTCAGGGGGGAGGAAGCGTTCGTAGTTTTCCCGCGGCGGCCCGAGAACTACAGGAACGGCCCCGGCCAGTAAGGAGTTCCAGAGCTTCTCGGTGATGTAGTCGGTGTGCTGTGAGTTCTCCAACGCCAGATAGAACTGGTAGCGTCTCACCGTGCGCACCACAGTGCTGTCCTCTGGCAGTGGCACACCTGCACGCCCGAACACATCCACGCCAACGTAGTTAGCCAGCCGGCGGTAGTACGCCACGCGGGCCTGCGAATCCGACCAGTTACTGATGACCCAGGCCAGTAGGCGGGGCCGCCGGGGGCCGTTGGCGTGAGGGCGAAGGCGGGGCACCAGGTAGCCGTAGGGGAGGAAGATGTCCGAATCTGCTCGGTAGGTCATGGTGAGGTTGAAGACGCCCTCGAACCGCCGCAGGCCACGAGTGTGAGACGGGGACTCAAATTCATCCAGATCCACTTCTGGCCACGGGGCCGTGGGTCTGCCGGGAGTGCGGTGGCGTTGGTCGCTATCTCACGGTGGTGTATGATGACGGCGTCAGCCCCTTGGTACATGCGCCGGTCGTCGGTCAGTGTGCACCCACGGATCCCAAAGCGTGCCTCACAGTCCGGCAGTCTGCGGTAGTGGCCGAAGGGGTGCGTCCACAGGAGAAGGGTGACATCTCTGGGCTCACCTCCAGTGAGCGGGAGGGGTTGTAGTCGCGGGTCTGGGAGATTGAGCAAACACACTCCAAGGAGGAAAAAAAGCGAACAGCCGAGAGCGGCGAAACACACCCATGAGCATGATGTTCTCAGAACAGTCACTCTACGTGTTTTGCTTAGGCGCAGACCGGGGCGCTTAGACGGCTCTGTTAGAGGTAGAACGACCCCCTGTTACCCACTGAGTTATCTCCATGAAATCCATCAAACTTCCAGCCCTTATGTCCATTAACTCCAGAAGTTCTAGAAACTTAACGTCCACTCCCTGTCACGTTCTCCTCTCCACGCACCTGGTGTAGCCTAGAATCTCTTTCACCTGGGATTCCAAGGAGAAAAGTTTACGGTCCTCCTTCTTTATGCCTTGGCTGTGAGAAAAACCAGTCGGCCCATTCTCAGGGTTAAACAGTTAAGTCAGGGCTACTGTTCCTTTGCTATGGCTCGGGGGGGCCCCCCTGGGGGGGGGTTTTTGAAAAGGGGGGGGCCCACCGTTACGCCGTTATGTTAGGCGCTACGGGTCAAAAACCAAGGGGGAAGGCCTTGGGAACCCCCTTTTGGGGGAAATAAAAGGGTCCTTTTTTCCCCCCTTTGGGGGGAAAAAGGGGGGGGGGGGGGGAAAAAAAACTACCTTTTTTAAACATTTTTGGATTTAAAACCTCAGGTCCCAAGGGATATTTACCCCTTTAATCCTTTCCTAATCTACCCCTCCCCATTTTATTTCACCTCCCCAAAAAATTCTTTTTTTCCTTCCCCTTTCTTTCCCACCTCTCCCTTTTTTGCCCTCCCCTTCCCCATCCCCCCTCTAAAACAGGGATACCTTGACCTCATCTTTACTAGATGCTGCTCTTCTACTAATCTCACTGCAACTCCCCTCCATGTCTCCGACCACTACCTTTGTTTCCTTTTCTCTCTCGCTCTCCTCCCACACTACTCACTCTGCCCCTACACAGATGGTTAATGCGCCCGCCGCAACCTTCGCTCTCTCTCTCCCCAACTACTCTCTCCTCTTCCATCCTATCATCTCTTCCCTCTGCTCAATCCTTCTCCCTTCCAATCTCCTCATTTCTGCCTCCTCAACCCTCCTCTCCTCCCTTTCTGGCATCCTTGACTCTCTGTGTCCCCTATCCTCCCCGGCCGGCTCGGTCCTCCCCTCCAGCTCCGTGGCTTGATGACTCATTGCGAGCTCACAGAACAGAGCTCCGGGCAGCGGAGCGGAAATGGAAGAAAAACTAAAACTCCCTGCCGACCTGGCAATCTTTTCACTCCCTCCTCTCTACATTTTCTTCCTCTGTTTCTTGCTGCTAAGGCCACTTTCTACCACTCTAAATTCCAAGCATCTGCCTCTAACCCTAGGAAGCTCTTTGCCACATTTTCCTCCCCTCCTGAATCCTCCCCCCCCCCCCCCGCCCCCCCCTCCTCTCTCTCTGTGGATGACTTCGTCAACCACTTTGAAAAGAAGGTTGACGACCATTCGATCCTCGTTTGTGAAGTCTAATGACACTGCTGGTCCTACTCACACTGCCCTACCCTATGCTTTGACTTCTTTCTCCCCCTCTCTCCAGATAAAATCCTGCGACTTGTGACTGCAGGCCGCCCAACAACCTGCCCGCTTGACCCCATCCCCTCCTCTCTTCTCCAGACCATCTCCGGTGACCTTCTCCCCTACCTCACCCTCGCTGATCAACTCATCCTTGACCGCTGGCCATGTCCCTTCCGTCTTCAAGAGAGCGAGAGTTGCTCCCCTTCTCAAAAAACCAACCCTCGATCCCACTGATGTCAACAAACTACAGACCAGTATCCCTTCTTTCTTTTCTTTCCAAAACTATTGAGCGTGCCGTCTTTAGCCAACTCTCTTGCTATCTCTCTCAGAATGACCTTCTTGATCCAAACCAGTCAGGTTTTCAGGACTGGTCATTCAACTGAGACTGCTCTTCTCTGTGTCACGGAGGCTCTCCGCACTGCTAAAGCTAACTCTCTCTCCTCTGCTCTTGTCCTTCTAGACCTGTCTGCTGCCTTTGATTACTGTGAACCATCAGATCCTCCTCTCCACCCTCTCCGAGCTGGGCATCTCCGGCGCGGCTCACTCCTGGATTGCGTCCACCTGACCGGTCGCTCCTACCCAAGTGGCGTGGCGAGAAGCTGTCTCCGCACCACGTGCTCTCACCACTGGTGTCCCCCAGGGCTCAGTTCTAGGCCCTCTCCTTTTCTCCCTATACACCAAGTCACTTGGCTCTGTCATATCCTCAACATGGCCTCTCCTATCATTGCTACGCTGACGATACACAACTAATCTTCTCCTGTCCCCTTCTGATAACCAGGTGGCGAATCGCATCTCTGCATGTCTGGCAGACATATCAGTATGGATGACGGATCACCACCTCAAGCTGAACCCTGGCAAGACGGAGCTGCTCTTCCTCCCGGGGAAGGACTGCCCGTTCCATGATCTCGCCATCACGGTTGACAACTCCGCTGTGTCCTCCTCCCAGAGTGCGAAGAGCCTAGGCGTGACCCTGGACAACACCCTGTCGTTCTCCGCCAACATCAAGGCGGTGACCCGCTCCTGCAGGTTCATGCTCTACAAACATTCGGAGAGTACGACCCTGCCTTACACAGGAAGCGGCACAGGTCCTAATCCAGGCACTTGTCATCTCCCGTCTGGACTACTGCAACTCGCTGTTGGCTGGCCTCCCTGCCTGTGCCATTAAACCCCTACAACTCATCCAGAATGCCGCAGCCCGTCTGGTGTTCAACCTTCCCAAGTTCTCTCACATCACCCCCCTCCTCCGCACACTCCACTGGCTTTCCAGTTGAAGCTCGCATCCGCTACAAGACCATGGTGCTTGCCTATGGAGCAGTGAGGGGAACGGCACCTCTGTACCTTCGGGCTCTGATCAGTCCCTACACCCAAACGAGGGCATTGCGTTCATCCACCTCTGGCCTGCTGGCTCCCCTTCCTCTGCGGAAGCATAGTTCCCGCTCAGCCCAGTCAAAACTGTTCGCTGCTCTGGCACCCCAATGGTGGAACAAGCTCCCTCACGACACTAGGACAGCGGAGTCAATCACCACCTTCCGGAGACATTTGAAACCCCACCTCTTTAAGGAATACCTGGGATAGGATAAAGTAATCCTTCTACCCCCCCCCCCCCCCCCAAAAAAAAAAAATTGTAAAGTGATTATCCCACTGGCTATAGGGTGAACGCACCAATTGGTGAGTCGCTCTGGATAAGAGCGTCTGCTAAATGACGTAAATGTGCCCTTGAGCAAGGCACTTAACCCTAATTGCTCCTGTAAGTCGCTCTGGATAAGAGCGTCTGCTAAATGACTAAAATGTAATGTAAATGTATAGGCCTGTGTTTGAAGGCACCGTTATGCCGTTATGTTAGGCGCTACAGGTCAAACAAGGGATAGGCCTGTGTTGAAGGCACCGTTACGCCGTTATGTTAGGCGCTACAGGTCAAACAAGGGATAGGCCTGTGTTTGAAGGCACCGTTATGCCGTTATGTTAGGCGCTACAGGTCAAACAAGGGATAGGCCTGTGTTTGAAGGCACCGTTACGCCGTTATGTTAGGCGCTACAGGTCAAACAAGGGATAGGCTTGACGCCTTGATAAGTTCCTTTCCTGAGGATGGCTCACCCCTCACAGTTTTGGGGGATTTCAACCTCCCTATGTCCACATTTGACTCATTTCTCTCTGCCTCCTTCTTTCCACTTCTCTCCTCTTTTGACCTCACCCTCTCACCATCCCCCCCCTACTCACAAGGCAGGCAATACGCTTGACCTCATCTTTACTAGATGCTGCTCTTCTACTAATCTCACTGCAACTCCCCTCCATGTCTCCGACCACTACTTTGTTTCCTTTTCTCTCTCGCTCTCCTCCCACACTACTCACTCTGCCCCTACACAGATGGTAATGCGCCGCCGCAACCTTCGCTCTCTCTCTCCCACTACTCTCTCCTCTTCCATCCTATCATCTCTTCCCTCTGCTCAATCCTTCTCCCTCCAATCTCCTCATTCTGCCTCCTCAACCCTCCTCTCCTCCCTTTCTGCATCCTTTGACTCTCTGTGTCCCCTATCCTCCCGGCCGGCTCGGTCCTCCCCTCCAGCTCCGTGGCTTGATGACTCATTGCGAGCTCACAGAACAGAGCTCCGGGGAAATGGAAGAAAACTAAACTCCCTGCCGACCTGGCATCTTTTCACTCCCTCCTCTCTACATTTTCTTCCTCTGTTTCTGCTGCTAAGGCCACTTTCTACCACTCTAAATTCCAAGCATCTGCCTCTAACCCTAGGAAGCTCTTTGCCACATTTTCCTCCCTCCTGAATCCTCCCCCCCCGCCCCCCCCCTCCTCTCTCTCTGTGGATGACTTCGTCAACCACTTTGAAAAGAAGGTTGACGACATTCGATCCTCGTTTGTTAAGTCTAATGACAAAGCTGGTCCTACTCACACTGCCCTACCCTATGCTTTGACTTCTTTCTCCCCTCTCTCTCCAGATAAAATCCTGCGACTTGTGACTGCAGGCCGCCCAACAACCTGCCCGCTTGACCCCATCCCCTCCTCTCTTCTCCAGACCATCTCCGGTGACCTTCTCCCCTACCTCACCTCGCTGATCAACTCATCCTTGACCGCTGGCCATGTCCCTTCCGTCTTCAAGAGAGCGAGAGTTGCTCCCCTTCTCAAAAAACCAACACTCGATCCCACTGATGTCAACAACTACAGACCAGTATCCCTTCTTTCTTTTCTTTCCAAAACTATTGAGCGTGCCGTCTTTAGCCAACTCTCTTGCTATCTCTCTCAGAATGACCTTCTTGATCCAAACCAGTCAGGTTTCAGGACTGGTCATTCAACTGAGACTGCTCTTCTCTGTGTCACGGAGGCTCTCCGCACTGCTAAAGCTAACTCTCTCTCCTCTGCTCTTGTCCTTCTAGACATGTCTGCTGCCTTTGATACTGTGAACCATCAGATCCTCCTCTCCACACCTCTCCGAGCTGGGCATCTCCGGCGCGGCTCACTCCTGGATTGCGTCCTACCTGACCGGTCGCTCCTACCAAGTGGCGTGGCGAGAAGCTGTCTCCGCACCACGTGCTCTCACCACTGGTGTCCCCCAGGGCTCAGTTCTAGGCCCTCTCCTTTTCTCCCTATACACCAAGTCACTTGGCTCTGTCATATCCTCACATGGCCTCTCCTATCATTGCTACGCTGACGATACACAACTAATCTTCTCCTTTCCCCCTTCTGATAACCAGGTGGCGAATCGCATCTCTGCATGTCTGGCAGACATATCAGTATGGATGACGGATCACCACCTCAAGCTGAACCCTGGCAAGACGGAGCTGCTCTTCCTCCCGGGGAAGGACTGCCCGTTCCATGATCTCGCCATCACGGTTGACAACTCCGCTGTGTCCTCCTCCCAGAGTGCGAAGAGCCTAGGCGTGACCCTGGACAACACCCTGTCGTTCTCCGTCAACATCAAGGCGGTGACCCGCTCCTGCAGGTTCATGCTCTACAACATTCGGAGAGTACGACCCTGCCTTACACAGGAAGCGGCACAGGTCCTAATCCAGGCACTTGTCATCTCCCGTCTGGACTACTGCAACTCGCTGTTGGCTGGCCTCCCTGCCTGTGCCATTAAACCCCTACAACTCATCCAGAATGCCGCAGCCCGTCTGGTGTTCAACCTTCCCAAGTTCTCTCCCGTCACCCCCCTCCTCCGCACACTCCACTGGCTTCCAGTTGAAGCTCGCATCCGCTACAAGACCATGGTGCTTGCCTATGGAGCAGTGAGGGGAACGGCACCTCTGTACCTTCGGGCTCTGATCAGTCCCTACACCCAAACGAGGGCATTGCGTTCAATCCACCTCTGGCCTGCTGGCTCCCCTTCCTCTGCGGAAGCATAGTTCCCGCTCAGCCCAGTCAAAACTGTTCGCTGCTCTGGCACCCCAATGGTGGAACAAGCTCCCTCACGACGCCAGGACAGCGGAGTCACTCACCACCTTCCGGAGACATTTGAAACCCCACCTCTTTAAGGAATACCTGGGATAGGATAAAGTAATCCTTCTACCCCCCCCCCCCCCCAAAAGAAAAAATTTGTAAAGTGATTATCCCACTGGCTATAGGGTGAACGCACCAATTGGTGAGTCGCTCTGGATAAGAGCGTCTGCTAAATGACGTAAATGTGCCCTTGAGCAAGGCACTTAACCCTAATTGCTCCTGTAAGTCGCTCTGGATAAGAGCGTCTGCTAAATGACTAAAATGTAATGTAAATGTATAGGCTTTGGCTTTGAAGGCACCGTTATGCCGTTATGTTAGGCGCTACAGGTCAAACAAGGGATAGGCCTGTGTTTGAAGGCACCGTTACGCCGTTATGTTAGGCGCTACAGGTCAAACAAGGGATAGGCCTGTGTTTGAAGGCACCGTTTACGCCGTTATGTTAGGCGCTATGTCAGAGTGACTAGTTGAGAGGCAAAACTCGCTTAGGCAAGTCAAAGTTCAAGTTTAATTATTTTTAATTGCATACATTAGAATTTTCACATTCAAAAGTCTGAAATATCTTGGACTGAAACAACTGAACAAATCAGACAGCAGACAGGTGAGGAGAGGAACGTCGTGGACATTTGATAAATATAAATACACAGTAGCCTGGACAATATCTATGAGGGTGATTATAGCGGTGGATGCAGCTGCTGGTCAGTGTGTGTGTGTGTGTGTGTGTGTGTGTGTGTGTGTGTGTGTGTGTGTGTCAGGAATCTCCTTTGGTTAGCATTGCACATGTCTGGTGGGGTGGTGTAAGTAGCAGCTGGTCAGCTGATCATGTAAAGGCAGTATCAAGGCTACTGTGGTTTTAGGAAGGCTTCCAAAGCAGCTGTCAAACAACCCACACCCACCCACTGATGAGGACAATGTCTCTGTTTTTTTATACAGTCTGACACAACTCACTTCATAACACTACTGAACCCTGACTAATAAAAATAAGTAACAGACATGTGAATCACAGTTCAGTGATGTTATAAAAAGTTTCTTCCTGTGATCCACTGCTTGCTAAATGGTGTTGAAGACAGTTCCTATGGTGTCCCTGCTGCAGACCGGGTTGTGGCTAGATACCTGACCAATCATGTTCACATATTGGAAGGTCAGAAAGCAGTCACAGGTCAGGACTCAAACCAGCGCTGAAGGTTGGTGATGGTGTTAGTCCGGAGTCTGTGGTTCCGCACGGCGCGGCACGCTGTGCAGTAATGCTCCGCCCAGAAGGTGGTCAGGTGCACGCTGTAGCTCCTCCCCCAGGCCAGGTGTCTCTGCAGGAGGGCGGGGCTCCGGCGCAGCAGCAGCAGGTATTGGGCGAGCAAGCGGGGAGAGGGGAAGTCGTCCACATGGATGAAGGCCTCAGGGGGGAGGAAGCGTTCGTAGTTTTCCCGCGGCGGCCCGAGAACTACAGGAACGGCCCCGGCCAGTAAGGAGTTCCAGAGCTTCTCGGTGATGTAGTCGGTGTGCTGTGAGTTCTCCAACGCCAGATAGAACTGGTAGCGTCTCACCGTGCGCACCACAGTGCTGTCCTCTGGCAGTGGCACACCTGCACGCCCGAACACATCCACGCCAACGTAGTTAGCCAGCCGGCGGTAGTACGCCACGCGGGCCTGCGAATCCGACCAGTTACTGATGACCCAGGCCAGTAGGCGGGGCCGCCGGGGGCCGTTGGCGTGAGGGCGAAGGCGGGGCACCAGGTAGCCGTAGGGGAGGAAGATGTCCGAATCTGCTCGGTAGGTCATGGTGAGGTTGAAGACGCCCTCGAACCGCCGCAGGCCACGAGTGTGAGACGGGGACTCAAAATTCATCCAGATCCACTTCTGGCCACGGGGCCGTGGGTCTGCCGGGAGTGCGGTGGCGTTGGTCGCTATCTCACGGTGGTGTATGATGACGGCGTCAGCCCCTTGGTACATGCGCCGGTCGTCGGTCAGTGTGCACCCACGGATCCCAAAGCGTGCCTCACAGTCCGGCAGTCTGCGGTAGTGGCCGAAGGGGTGCGTCCACAGGAGAAGGGTGACATCTCTGGGCTCACCTCCAGTGAGCGGGAGGGGTTGTAGTCGCGGGTCTGGGAGATTGAGCAAACACACTCCAAGGAGGAAAAAAAGCGTACAGCCGAGCGCGGCGAAACACACCCATGAGCATGACGTTCTCAGAACAGTCACTCTACGTGTTTTGCTTAGGCGCAGACCGGGGCGCTTAGCGGCTCTGTGAGAGGTAGAACGACCCCCTGTTACCCACTGAGTTATCTCCATGAAATCCATCAAACTTCCAGCCCTTATGTCCATTAACTCCAGAAGTTCTAGAAACTTAACGTCCACTTCCCTGTCACGTTCTCCTCTCCACGCACCTGGTGTAGCCTAGAATCTCTTTCACCTGGGATTCCAAGGAGAAAAGTTTACGGTCCTCCTTCTTTATGCCTTGGCTGTGAGAAAAACCAGTCGGCCCATTCTCAGGTAAACAGTAAGTCAGGCCTACTGTTCCTTTGTCTCTGGCTCTGTAAGGAGAGATAAGGATCTCTGCCACTGGAGTTTAATAATGTGTAGACTAGTTTTACCTAAGCTGTGTTGTTGGTGAATGCATGAGCAAACAGATACACCGTTCTGCGCAAACACTTGACGTGGCAGGCAGCATGCGACCTCCGGTTACCGGTGAATGGGGTCTTTGTAGCCCTCACGGGCTCTTTCAGGACAGCAAGAGTAAACATGCTGTCCCGCAGGGCGAGGGCTGCTATGTAACCTAGAGGCAGCACTGCTTGGACCAACAACGATCTTACTTTATGGTTAAAACCCAGACCTCCTGGTAGAATCCATAGAACAGGGAGGCACAGGCTCAAGAAAAGCAAAGTGAACAAAATAGATAGACATAATTTAGAGGGAAAAAAAATCACAGATACTCCCAATTCTGTTATCTAATTAAATGTGTAATTCATGAGCGCAAATGTGGTAAACTGCATGCGTTTACTAATTTGTTAGAGGGTAATTATACAGGTGGGGTCTTTATTGATAACTGTGTTAGGCCTATACTGTGCTTGGACCAGGGGTTGGTACTGAAATTATTTTCCAGTCGTTTTGTTCTGAACAGAACCATTATTATTTTTTGGTTCCATTCCACTGTTCCGACTAGCAAAATAAAGATCTGAACTGGTTCCTTCCTGTTATCTTTGAAACCTGTAAAATCGAGGTTAATATGGTGTGAGCCAAGCTATAGATAGTAAATATTTGTTTACATGCATTGGTCAGACAAGTGTCGGGCTTTAACACAAACCCACATATAGTAGCCCCCCCCCCCCCCCCAAACAAAATATTCACAAAAGCAGTGCACTGGGCCTATACTACTCCTGTATTCAGGGCTGGTCCTGGCCATTCTGCTGCCCTAGGCGAGACAAAACTATTGCCACCCCTTCAAAACTAGAATAGTCTTAGTAAGCAAAATAAAGTTCAAAAGACATCTAAAATACTTATTTTCCAGAAGTTGAAGTTAAGTTTAATTTAGGTTCTGAATGAAAGATGAAAAGGTATTTTCTGTATGTTTAAAATACATATTTTTCAGGACTTTGAAAAGGCATCTTTTCTGGACGATGAAAAATACGTATTTTCCGGAAGTTTAAATCAGGTTCATTTTCGGTTCTGAATGAAAGTTGAAAATAAGTAATTTATAGACGTCTACGTTTGGGCCAATTCAAGGCTGGTCAATCAATCAATCACACTTTATTTGCCAAATACAACAGGTGTAGACATTACAGTGAAATGCTTACTTACAAGCCCTTAACCAACAATGCAGTTTCTTTTAAAAAATAAAAAATTTAATAAAAAGTGTTAAGTAAAAAATAGATAAGTAAAAGATTCAAGCAAATAACTAAAGAGCAGCAGTAAAATAAATTGCAAATAGTCCGGGTAGCCATGATTAGCTGTTCAGGAGTCTTATGGCTTGGGGGTAGAAGCTGTTGAGAAGTCTTTTGGACCTAGACTTGGCGCAGAGAGAACAATCTATGACTAGGGTGGCTGGAGTCTTTGACAATTTTCCGGGCCTTCCTCTGACACTGCCTGGTATAGAGGTCCTGGATGGCAGGAAGCTCGGCCCCAGTGATGCACTGGGCCGTACGCACTATACGGCTGCCTATTCCTGCCTAATGAGGAGGCCGGCCTTGCCAGTATTAGCTGACCGATATAGCCCTCTGTAGCACGGGAAACATTTGCAGCATGGGGAGAAATCAACATGCGAGATGGCCTGAGGTTTGCATGTTATGGCGAGAGTAGGCTACTTTCCTCTTGCGATGCTGATTTCCATACAGTCCACCAGGGGGATCCCTTCGCCCAGGGCCTCATCAATTGCTTTTGGTATTTCAGAGGTATTTATGAACAGAAGAACATACACTCAAACATATGACACACATCAAGGTGAAGAAAAGTGTATTTATATTAAAACCAAGGAAATTGCTCAAGGTCTTTAACCGGGTGCTTGTTTTAAAATGTATAGGCCTACCCATAATGCACTTTAGTCTTCTTAAAATTGTCTGGCCTCCAGAGAATCCATATTTTATTTAAATGAATGAATAAAATACCAGATAAGATGCAGAGAGAGAGAGAGAGAGAGATTGGAAAAGTGTGTAAGATTTGAGATGTGAGCTTTGTGTTCTTGTACAGCTCTGTGCTAGAAAAACAACCTACAAGCGAGACTAACTCTCTCTACAGACCTGTCAGGGTGTGCAGACTGCACAGACAGTCTCATTGTTCTGTCCCGTTGTGTGAGAAGAGACACACACACACACATGCACACTATGAGAGGAGGAAGCCAGAAGCAGAACGTCTCCAGTGGAGTCCCCAATCCATTCCCAACATCTAGTCCCTATTTCCCCCCCTCTGAGAGCGACAGCTAGCAGCCCAGTCAGTAGTACTTCCCATTTCCCATAAGGAGCCTTGTACTCTCCGCATTATTTAGCTATTCTTTTCATGTGAACAGTTCTATTTCCAGACAATAATTTTTGTTCATACATACAAGGAAGAGTCTTGCATGAATGACTTAGAACACTGACTGAACACCATGTTGGGGTGAAGCTAAACTGGTTTCCTGCACGGATAGATCTGATTGGTTAGTGCTGGTAAGGTCAATAATCCATTAAAGTATTGGCAGAAGACTAACCAACTAGACACCACCAGTAGAGATGCAGTATATTCCAGGATACTGAGGCTCTCTGCTCTTCCCTTCTACATTTTAGCTGGTCTGCCTGTCCTGCAGATGAAGATAACAGGACATTACATCGTCAATGTGTTTGTCTTCCGGTCGTGTGTGGTTGTGTGTGATGACACACGCCTCAGGATGGGCCCCAGGCTCTTCACTCATCTCTAGCGATTTTCTCTTTCTATACATTTCTCTTTTTTTCTCCCTTTCCCAGGGGATGGGATGTCTCAATTATTTCCAGGGAGGCCCCAGAGAGAGAGAGAGAGAGAGAGAGAGAGAGAGGAGGAGAGAGAGAGAGAGATAAGAGAAGAGCAGAGAAGCGAGAGAGGAGAGAGAGAGAGAGAGAGAGAGAAGATATACGAGATGCGGAGATCGAGGAGAGTGAGAGAGAGACGGAGAGTAGAGAGACAAGAGAGAGAGAGAGAGGAGGACGAGAGAGGAGGAGAGAGAAGAGAGAGAAGAGAGGGGGCTCTGAGAGTGCGCTGATCACTGAGGCCCTCGCTGACCCCTGACCTTCATCTTGACATCAGAGGTGACCCCTGGGGTCAAAGGTTGTGTGAATTCGGCGATTCGCTCCACCGCCGGACGATGATGATCTTGTTCAGCCTTCCCTAGCTGTCTGACGTGATTACTGGGGCGGCAGATAGCCTAGCGGTTAAGAGCGTTGGGCCAGTAACTGAAATGTTGTTGGTTCGAATCCGTGAGCTGACTAGGCACTTAACCCTAATTGCTCCTGTAAGTCGCTCTGGATAAGAGTGTCTGCTAAATTACTAAAATGTACATGTGGTGGTGATCTCAACCCCAGGCCCCCCAGGGCCACACATCCATCTCTGCCTCTCCCCCACAGCCACGGCCGGGGCCTGCTAAGAGCATCAGCCCTCACAGGCTTAGTTAATGAGGAGAGAAAGTGAGACAGTGGTGAAAGGTTGTGGGTGAGAGACAGAAGATCTGTTTGTTTCAACAGCACACTCTGGAAAGGAGATATGGCTGACGGCCCCTTTCAGCCTTGGAATTCAGATCGGCTGTACATTTACATTTTAGACATTTAGCAGACGCTCTTATCCAGAGCGACTTACAGTTAGTGAGTGCATACATTTTCATACTACATAAACTGCTTGCTCAAAGTAAAATTTAAAATGACACATCAGCAGATCAAGCACATCCAGAAGCTAACATATACAATATTCTTTGCTCCATCTGATCTCACTACACAAACAATCGAGTTCCCCCTTCCTGTGGCTCCTTTGTGAGATAAGTCAAGAATAACAACAGAAACCCATAACCCTGTAGGGTGTTCTCACCAATGTGTCTTTCTGGTTGGACTGGGGAGCATCTCACCCTACCTAGGACAAGTCTAAGTCGACAGACAGAACAGCACCACATGAGGAGGGGGATTTATTAACTAAACAGCTCTTCTCCCGGAATTATGGCCTTAAGTCAAGTATGAAACTACATATCAGCCCTGAACTCCCTCACTTAGAATAGAAACAAACTGTTGCCAGGCTCACAAAGACGCCATTAAAAGCCTCATTAGCCTAAAGGGTTGTCAGTTGGGTGGCCTCCACACAAATAACTCAATTGGAAAATGCAATCAGCCCTCCAGTTGATAAAAAGTCTAAAAATACAAAACAATGCAACACTTTAAAGAACCAATGCAGCTGTTTTTATCTCAATATCAAATCATTTCTGGGTAACAATTAAGTACCTTATTGTAATAGTTTTTCATTAAAATGCTCAAAAAGAAACAAAAATAGCTTTTTTTAGCATCAAAACAGATTGCCGCGTTCAAAACAGCTAGGAACTTAGATCTTGGAACTCGGAAATCTCAAACTTCAGTGCATTCAAGACAACTAGGAACTCTGCAAAAAACTAGCTCCAACTTGGAAAAATCGTCATCCAACTCAGAATTCCAAGTCGGAAACTCTGGAATATTTCTAGAGCTCCAACTTTCCGACTAGAGGATCACTGACATCATGATTTGGCCTAGTTTTTTTCAGAGTTCGCAGTTGTATTGAAAGCACCATATTTCTCACGCAATAATTTTGCTAGGACTGTCTGGGAGTAGTCTGAGCGG